GGGGGGGGGGGGGGGGGTTAGGAGGGCATCCCTGCATGCACTCCGGGAGCCCCCTTGTGTGTTCCCTTTTGTGGTACTGGTTTCCCGGTAAAGACAAAATATACGCTTGCTCAGAATGTGCATCGGCACGATCACAGGCTACTTGCTGGTATTTACACCTCCAGGTTTGACTGCTCTTGTCTGAGGATGAAGAAGCTTGCGTCGACACGACTAGCTCACACTGGGGCTCGTGGTGCATGAACACTCGCTCTGTTTTGCACTACCTTGCTTGATTCCGCTGCGAGGCATGACAGGATCCCGTCCACAACACAAGGCATTGATCCTTGCGTTCCTCCTGACAAATATCGTTGTTGTTGATGATTTTAATCTCCTCGCCATGACTCCGGCTATTCGGGGATCGTGCCGAAAGGTGAAAGGACCGACGTCCAGGGATGAAAAAAAAAAACAGAAAAAAAATGACCCGTCGACACACCTGTTCAACATGAAGCGCTGTAGAAGAATGTACAGAGGGTCTAAATATGTAAATGCCAATGTTAATCTGCTGTGATGTTAATTGTCAATTGATACTGTGTAGAAAAGATAACCGCCAACACCATGTCGTGGCGCAAGCAGAAAGAGGCGTGCATGCATGCTCGCATCCATCTTCGCGCACGGACTGGTACGTACAAAAGAGATCAGCACCGTCCGTGTCGTGACCCAAGCAGGAAGAGTCGTGCAATGCATGCTCACGTTCATTGGTCTTGTTAATAACGTGTCTTACATGTACTTTTTATGTTCCGGTACAGGGTGAAGGAGCAACTCGAGGACGCCCTTACGAAGCCATACGGAGATACCCACCTTCTCAAGGAGACCAACCACATCTCCGAGGTACGTTTAGCATTTGCAACCAGGTTATCGCGTTTGGAGGGATGTTGTTCTTGTCCGTTTTGTTTATCGTTTCTTTCATTTCAGCTTTGGCGTCAACTGATGGCCAGCGGAAGACATCGGTAAAAAAACAGTAAACACGCGGCACGCCTGCAGAACAAGCGGACAAAGAAAGTCGGCACGGAAGGAAGGACACATCTACGACAATGATAAGTAGGAGCACGGACAGCCAGGGGGGAGAGGATAAGCCAACCCCAAGAGAGACCAGGCATCGTGTTCTGTCATCAGAACGAGATTGTGTTTTCCCAGAGGTAGCAGCAGCAGCAGCAGCAAAACCATAGTTCCCGATACGGGAACGAACGAAACCAAACCTAGGCAAGGGGATGGATGGGGGGGGGCTGGTTCGGCCTCTCGAGAACGATTTTGGGCAAGGTTAGCCACATGGCTCAGTTTCTGTCCAACGCCATTTCCATCGTGTGTTTGTGGTCAGCAAGCCGATAGTCTGACGTTGATTGCTCGCGCCTCCTTGCTGCTGCTGCTTTCACTCTACAGACTACCCAAGGGTTGGATGCCCACGTTAGCTAACGCTTGTCCCCCTAACCCCTCCGACCCCTCGAAAGTTAAAGTTCAACCAAGCACAGTGGGTTGTCGTGGATGTTGCGCCAAGGGGGTACATAGAGGCGCGGGGGAAGGCGGTTGTTGTTGTTGCTTGCCTTGATCGTTTTGATAAGTTACCTCTCGGCAGTGTCATCCCGTACGAACATACAAGCGCCGCCGTTGGTGTTGCTCCTGCTGGTAGAGGCGGTCTTAACACGCCTGTCTTTCTTGTTCTTTCAAGGATAGTTTTATCGTTGCTTTCGTTCTCTTCCCTGTAGAAAGGCCGGAGAAAATGCGAGCACTCGTTTCGGATGGGACCTATCAACACAAGTACATGGGAGCAGGGCACGGGTCACCACAACGCTTGTCCCCTTTGGACGAGACGCCCCGTGCTGCACTACTCCGCTGTTGTCCCTTCACACCGAGTACTGCTGTTTGTTGTTGGTTGTGGGACGGATTGATCACGACCCCCCCCCCCCCCCCC